CTGTTAAAGTGAAATGAACACTATGAGAAACGGTGACTTGATCGGCCCTCACCCTGAATGTTGATGGCAACTTAAATATTATCCCTCTTAGTATTTTGTTGTTGTTCTACTTAATATTTGGTTGGATACTGTAATCAATACAATTCTCTTAAGTGCTGAAAACTTAATTGAAAAGTGATCGCTGTTAAATAAGAGTGGGAATAGAGAGGGAAGAGATGTACAATTCGGGACATGCTCAAGCTGACTTTACCTCAAACGGTAGAGTTAGAAACATACCAGGGGATTCCATTCAATCCCGTCAAGGTGGCATGTACCAATGCTATCTCACTAGTCCCAGTGATAATTTCTGTCACAATTGATCATAATGTAGGACTAAGAACCAAAGGGATCACATAAACAAGAATAGTGTCTGCAAATACTAGCTGATAGAATAAAAAGGGAGAGAATGATCCAACATGGGAAGGAGATACACAGCAGACCCATAGAATGGCAGATGTCCTAAACAGCACTCTGCCTCAGATCAGCCTTAAGGCATGCGGATCTAGCTGAAATTCCCATGAGAGTATTTCAGGCATGGAAAGCCAAGACACTCTGGGGAAAAAAAAAAAAAAAAAACCTAAATGAAAGATCTTGCGAGTGAGATCCCAGTGGAAAGAGGAAAGAACAGGTCATCAAAGAAGGAGGTACCTTTCTCTGAAGGGAGGAGAGAACTTCCACGTTGACCATGGCCTTGTCTAAATATGATCAGAGTCGGTGAACTCAGGGTGCATCCCATAGCCTTGGCAGCTCATGACAAGAGCCTAGGGTGATTACTGAGGCCATAAAACAAGAGTGTCAAATTGTTAAGTCAACAACAGGAGTCACTGTGCACTTACTCCTCATAGGATCTCTGTCCTTAGTGTGCTGTACATTGAGATTTAATGCTACAACTAGTACTCAACAGATTTTTCACTTTCTGTTCTGTGTGTGGGAGCAAACTGTTGAAATCTTTACTTAAGTATGCTAAACTGATCTTCTATATAAAGAGAATCAAAAATGAATCTTGATGTGAATGGAAGGGGAGAGGGAGTGGGAAAGGGAGGGTGCGGGGGGAGGGACATTATGGCGGGGAAGCCATTGTAATCCATAAGCTGTACTTTGGAAATTTATATTCATTAAATAAAAGTTAAAAAACAAACAAAAAAAACAGGTAAACATCAACAATTAATAAACATGGTTCAGATTCATGTTGCAAAATGAGTCATAACATGAATATAGTCTCAACATTTTTTTTAACTTTTATTAATGATATAATTCCAAAGTAGCTATGGATTACAATGGCTTCCCCCCATAATGTCCCTCCCACTCGCAACCATCCCTATCCACTCCCTCTCCCCTTCCATTCACATCAGATTCATTTTTGATTCTCTTTATATACAGAAGATCAGTTTAGATACATTAAGTAAAGATTCAACAGTTGCTCCCACACAGAAACATAAAGTGAAAAATCTGTTTGAGTTACTAGTTAGCATAAATCTCAATGTACAGCACACTAGGACAGAGATCCTACATGAGGGTTAAGATGTTTACCTGTTTTAACATATACCTATCTGTACACTTAGAGTAATATCTACTGGCCTGAATCATGTTCCTCTCAGAACCATATGTTGAAGACTTCATCTACTGTAGCCCGAGACAGGACAGTTAGGAGGTAATGAAGGTTAAATAAGTTCATAAGCGTGGGGACCTAATCAAATAGGGCTGGTGTCTTTCTAAGAATTGGAATACATAGGAAAAGTCTTGTAAAGCCATAGTGAGAAGTCAGGAAGAAAAATATTACCAGAAACCAAATTTGCCCACCCTTTGATTTGGCTTCTTGCCTCTATAATGGTGATTGTGTTATTTAAGCCACTCTGCCTGTGGTATTTTGTTTTTGCAGCCTGAGGTGACTAATGTAATATCCAAGTTGTCTTCATATAGACTATATGTCTAGTCATTTAGATGTTAGTGAACACCTATTAAGTTACCACTTTATTGCAGTGTTAATTAAGGGTTTCTCCTGATACAACTTTGTTCTTCACCATGGTTCCATAACTTCTACTCAGCAATTTTCTGTCCCTTGCTATAATACAGATACATGTCCCAAACATCCTCCTAATCCTACATCCTGGGCATTAACTGTTATTAGTGTTCAATAGATCAGGTACAAGTGATGTGGTGATCAAGTACTGAGGAAGGTAGTCTTGAAGATTACATGCTCCAGATAATTAAGCTGTATGTGTATGTTTGTATGTGTATGTTCTTTTGAACGACATTTTAAAATTTTAGATGTTTCCAGTGTGCAAAATGCTTTTGGTATTGGCATTAACTGTTACTAAACAATGTACTGATTTGCTACCCAATACAGTGCCACATGGGAACTTGAGGCGATTCCAATTCTCTGTATTAGACATTCTGCTCAGTGTCTCAAGCTGGTTGTGAAGGGATGTTTATTCTGTGAGCTACATTCACTCTGCACTTCAGTATTTAAAGTGGTTGTGTTGTTATCTTTGCACTTGACTGATACTGCATATGAGACTACTCCAATTTCCACATGTCATTGAATGAATTATTGTTGTTGTTGCATGTCCTATCTCATAGACACCTAGTGTTAAGAGTGTTTAATAGTGTCAGGATCAACTGGTGTGCTACACAAACACCAAGGAAGGGTAGCTCTTGGAAAATTGTGCAGGAAATTAACTAAGGTTCCTTTTTTTTAAAAAAAAAAAGTATTCATTTTATTTATTTGAAAGAGCTACAGAGAGAGGTAGAGACAGAGAGAGGTCTTCCATTTGCTGGTTCACTCTCCAAATGACCACAGTGACAGGAGCTGAGCCAATCCAAAGCCAGGAGCCAGGAGCTTCAAGTCCAAGCACTTGAATCTTCCTCTACTGTTTTTCCTAGGCACATTAGCAGGGAGCTGGATCTGAAGTGGGTCAGATGGGAATCGCACTGGTGTCCATATGGGATGCTGGCACTGCAGGCTGGGATTATTTAACCCACTGCTCCACAGTGCCACCCCTAACCAAGCCATCTTATTGAAGGGTATATGGAATCTTTATGTTTTCTGCATTAGTTTGATGAAAGTCATGAAGCAAATGAAAAGACAGGTGTAAATAATGGATTTTAATTACACTTGTAAACAAGAATCCAGGCATTTTAGCCACTCTTGGAGGAATTACATCATCATCTTATTCCTTAAAGCAGGGTTAACATTTACAGTAACTGAGAGGACAGTTATTTCAACAATGTGGATAAAAGCAGTGAAATATACAACAAGTACAATTCTTCTTATTGTGCAGAGATCTTGTGAATAGCATGAAGAAGGATTTGCACAACAAATATTTACTACTCTTATGCCACTGAGAATATTTTTCAATACTCTCAAAACAAATGATTTTTTAAAGACTTATTTACTTATTTGAAAGAGTTACAGAGAAAGAGAAGCAGAGGCAGAGAGAGAGAGAGAGAGATCTTCCATCTACTGGTTCACTCCCCAATGGCTGCCATGGCCAAGGCTGGGCCAGGCCAAAGTCAAGAGCAGGAGTTTCATACATGTCTCCCATGTGGTTACAAGGGCCCAAGGACATGAACCATCTTCCTCTGCTTTCCCAGGTGCATCAGCAGGGAGCTGGATTGGAAGTGGAGCAGCGGACTCAAACCAGCACCCATATGGAATACCAGCACTGCAGGCAAAAGCTTTACTAGTTATGCTATAGAGCCAACCCCTTAACATATGATTTTACATTAATTTTGGAAGAACATTTTTTTTCAGAATAATTAAGTTCTATATAACATTAAAAACAATATCATAAAGGAGAAGACCATGGTTTCTCATCTTTTTATGCCACACTGTCTATACTGCTGTGGTTTTTGGCAATATGTATCACACTTACTACAGAAAGTTTACTTATAATTTTCTATTTGTTGCTAAATACGATACTCATTCCCTCCAGTGGTACAATTCATAGCTTAACAACTGTAATGTTATATATAGAATTGGAGAAGTACTTGCTATTTGTAGACCTTCAGCTGTTAGGATTTTTTTATCTAGATTTGTGCTACACTAATAGAAAGACTGAATGAGTAACTGAATAGAATGTGGCATCCCTGTTCTCCTCAAATGAAGCAATTACTTTGAATACCCCCAAGAGACAAAGAGCATTCTGCTTTAGTGTAACTTTAGAATTTTATATGGGTCCCTTTATGCTTGGTGGAGATTTCTGCCTAACATCAGTAACATAACTACTTTGTCACAGTTTTTGGTACTTTCGATTTTCATTTGTTCTCAACTGAAAATAGTATCATTGAAGAGGATATTAAGTAGTAATAGTCTAAAAGCCCTACAGATAGATTTATGTATATTTATGAGTATGTAGGAAAAATGTATAAAAAGTACACCCAGTGTCAAAAAAAGCAAAAAGAGAGAGAGAGAGAGAAAGCTGCAGGTAGTTTGTATGTTTGCACCGTATTCCCATGTTCGTGAACACTTAGGTTAATTCAATCATGAGACCAAGAGGTGTTTCTGCAGTTATATTTGCATTTATTTATAGTTTCTCAAAATTTCCTTTTCTAATTAAAGCCTTCTTAGTGCTAGTAGGTGGTTGTTGATTTGTACATTGCAACTTCAAATCACTTAATTCCCTCTAAAGGTCAGTAAGTCTCTAAACCTTTAGCCTTTCTATTAAGATCCTAATCATGAAATTAAAGCATCAGTAGCAAGCAGATGATCTAATGTAAGTGGTGTTCATGTTTTCTTCAGTGTGCACAATCAATAGAGATATCTTGATGGCTTGCATTTTAATGATATAGCTACTGCAAATGAATCCAGCTTATTAAATAGATATTCAAAATGTGTGAAGTGCCCCAAAGGCTATATTTTAACCAAATATTTTGGCTCTAATGGTAAATAATACTCATGACATCATAAACTCATGGCATTTCTGAGAAATGCCAAATTGCGAAAGAAATGGAATCCATAGGACAACAGACATGACCTTGAGAAACAAAAACATGCTAGAGTCATATTATCTTATTTTCCAGGTGCATATGTGCTCCAGGTCAAGGCCACCGATGCAGATGACCCCACCTATGGAAACAGTGCCAGAGTCGTTTACAGCATCCTTCAGGGACAACCTTATTTCTCTATTGATCCCAAGACAGGTAAATTTTTTATTAGAGACAACATTATCACCACCCCTTCAAATATTTAAACTTTAATTAAATCTTGGCATAGGAAGTTGCCTATTCTAATACAGCAATAAAGAATCAGTGTGTCACATACTAAGCAAAGAAAATAGGATCTCTTTGCTGCTGCAGAACTATTTCCCTTTGTTGGAGATTTGTGTAGATTCAAACCTTTTGAAATATATCTATAATATATTTTCTTTGTATTGTTTATAATTTTTGAGTTTTCTACCAACAGTAGGTTTTTATTTCAGGTTTTTAGTTCGGGTTCAATTGTATTTGGGTTTTGGCCTTATCAATATGTGGTAAGATCCCACAGCCTCTATTGTTACCTATATAAGGGTTATGGACAGTCTACAATGGAGGAAAGGAGATAGCTAACAAATATAAAACACCATGACCATTGATTCTGTGTCCCACATCTTTGATGCAAGTCACATTTCTAAATAAATAAATCATTGCAGGTTTCAAAATCAAGTATTATATGAGTAGCATAAGCTTATTTTATTTATTTGAAAGGGAGAGTTACAGAGAAAAGTAGAGAGAGAAAGAGAGAGGTCTTCCATCTGCTTTTTTCACTCCCTAAATGGCCACAATGAGCAGGGCTGGGCCAGGCCTAATTCAGGAACCAGGAGCTTCTTCTGGGTCTCCCAAGTAGGTGCAGGGGCCCAAGGACTTGGGCTATCTTCTGCTGCTCTCCCAGGTGCATTATCAGGGAGCTGGATCAGAAGTGGAAGAACTGAGACTTGAACTGGCACCTATATAGGATGCTGCTGCTGCAGGCTGGGGCTTTAACTAGCTGCACCACAGGGCCAGTATATGGGTAGTCTAGAAAGGACAGAAGGGATGAACGTGGAAAATTTTGTATTTTTTTTTAATTGAAATGAAGTGCCTCTGTTTCTAGGCAACATGATTTTATTCAATGCTATATTTTAGTTAAGGAGTTAATTTGACCAGTAATCCAAGTAGGCATTCCATGTCACATTTATAGCAGAAACTCTAAACAACAGCTACTTTATCAACTTTTATACAGTACATGATAATATATCTCAAGTTGAATTATACTATGTATCATATTATCTTAAAATATTGAAAAAGTTGCAATAATCTGGAAAAATAGGTTACGTTTAAAATTTGTAAATTAAGCATTAAATACATCAATTTGGGTGATATGCATTTCAGAACACTACATATGCAAATGAGCTAAACCTTTCAAATTTTGTACTCCAAAGTGGTGTGAGCTAAAATCTGGCATAACAATTACATATAGTTAATTAACAATAAGGCATATTTCTCAACTAAAGTGGAAATGCAGAACCTAAAATATATTCTCCCAACTGTAGCTGCTTTTCTCTCCTCCTCAGACTGCCTCATCAAGCAAAGAGGAGACAAAATGCATCACAAACTCAAAGATGAGGCAGGGACTTGCTTCCTTGTATAAGACATGAAAAAGAGTAGAAGAATAATGGCGGCATTGGTCCATCAGGAGTTCCTTTAACAAGGGAGCATTGGTGTTGAGAAACTCCAAAAGTGTTTAGGAAAAGAACGAGTTTTGGTTTGGGCAGAATGTCAGAGACCAAAAGCCAGCATGCCAAATGTTAAGACTCAGTGCCTGATGGGGAAATTATACCTACAATGCAGACTCTTTTTCAAGAACTATGGTGATAAAGATAAGAATATATTTGTTAATATCTTTGTTGAGGAAGTTTTGTGGTTTTTTAACTGTGGGGAGTTAATAAGAGAAAGGAAAAATTGGAGGGGAAAGAGGTTGGGAAATTCTTCCTTGAATTCTGTGTTGGTACAAAGATCCAGAGGAACTCAGATTGTTTGATAATCAATAAAATATGTCAGCAGTAATGAAACTAATTTATAACTACACAAAATATAAGATAAACCATACAAATACAAGTTTAAGTTAAGCATGGGTTAATAATATAATTTCAATAGTTAAATTAATACCAGGAAGAACATAGCATGATACAAAATACATGCTCTCTGCTTGACTTGATCAACATCAACTTCAGATAGATTTTAATATCTTTAAAAAGTGTTATTTTACCATTGAGCACATACATAAATATATTTAGCTTTTATAATTTTGGTTTTATATTTTTATACAATTCCTCTTATTTACATCTAACAATGAAATCATTCTGGCATAAACTGTTGTAATAGATTTTTGAAGCATTGATTTTCACTGGAGACAGAAGTCTTGCTACTAACACTGCCTCAGACCACTAGACAGGAAAGAGTGGATGCTGGTGCACTTCATTAACAGAATGAAAATGAGTTCTTCATATACAGAAACCATTAAGAAGACTTTTTGTCAAATTTATCACCTTGTGTTAGCTAAGAATAAATCAAAAATCAGGATAATTGCAATTTCTCAGAAATAGTCCCCATTTGTTCCAGCCGTATAGTTTCCTTTTATGATTCCTTTTACTGTTAGTAAATAAAAGGCATGAAAAACTAATGTTATCTAAAATTTTCCACTTTTAAGTATAGAAAACATTTTAAAATGATTCTTAAAGCTTCATCAAATCAACTTATGTCTAAAAGTTGGTGAAAAGATAAATAGATCAATTTGTTATTTATTTAAAATAAGAAAATCAAAAAAGAATTTATTTATTGATGTTTCAGTTGACAAATATTATTGACCCTCTCTTTCCAAGCAGATAAGCAAGCTTATTTCTAAATGTATAATTGATGTATTCTATGAAATACATGATGAAAGAATAGCTCTTGAAATTTGGCTTTTTGAAAATTAGTTGGCTTAACTATGAAATTATTACTCTGATCTAAAATCCAGATGCATTCATATGTAGTCAAACGATTGCTAAATGATATTTTAAAAACTCATAATGTAGATAAATATTTATAACACTATACAATTATGCTGATTATCCTTAATGTATATAAAACATTTATGTTATTGAAATATTGCATCATTTTATTACAAAATATTACAACTTAATGTTTATTAAACATTAAAATGTTCCTAATCTATAAACATTAAAAGGAAAAAGTATTATAATATTTTATTCAGTGCATGAAATGGAGATGCTAAACATCTCCATAGCATTGGTACTAATTATTCCATTTAAGAAAACAAATATTACTCTGAATGATTGACCACTACATCCTTATTTATGTGTAGCATTTTTTAAATGTATTTAGGTTATCCCATAAATGATTACAAATAACTAGTCTAAGAAAATTAGATATTGCTACAGTGTGTTTTGTTTGATGTATTATTCTAAATTATGTGAACTGTGCTTGAGAAAACTTTATATTATTTATCTCAATATCAGCTTACTAAAGACTGTTTTGTATTGTGGTAAAATAAATACAATATAAAATTTATCACTTTAACTATTTTAAGGGTACAAATCAATAGCATTGAATCCATTTAAAATACTGTATAACCAGCACCACCATCCATTTTTAATGCTTTTTCATAAAAACATAAATTTATGTGCATTATAAAACTTTGTACTCAAGAAATGCCCATGTTTTCTATTTGCAAAACAAACGTAAATTTGTATACACTTAAAAACACATATGAATTTAGTTGTGTGGACAGTAGGGTAGCACTTATTACTTTTTAAAATTATTATTATTAATTTATTCTCAGGATCTTTGTTTTTTCAGCTATCATCTTTTATCAGCGATAATATTCTTTAAGATTATGTTGTAACAGCAACATTTCCCACTTTCTGACTGACATTCATCTTCTTAGGTACACCAAATGTTCAGCCCATGTTACTGTTGGAAAGACCTATATTAAGATGAATGTATGGGTCACATTTTATATTTTTAGCTAATATTTTATAATATTATAAATATATTATTATGCTTAAAGTTATTTTCATGTTAACTCAGAATTTGTGCAGAAATCAGATCCTTTAATGGGTGTTAGTGAGAGTAAAAGAAAACATCTTCTTCCTCAAGGGCAAATAAGAGACTGTTTACCCACAAAGTAGTCATGCCTTTAGTATTTTTGTCAGAATGAGTGGATGGAAGCAGTTAAAACAAAAATTGATTATGGAAATTGCAAGGGCAAGGAAATCAGCAAATGCTAAAAAATCCAAGGGACTTCCAGAGATTCATGGAAAAATGAAATTAAAAGATAAGTTTATTTTCTTGCAAAAAAATTAGAAGTCCACACAGTTTGCTGATAAAATATATTTTCCCTGAACTTTTGAAGACCCCTGTGAAAGGAAGGAATAATATGTTCAAAGATATGCAATTATTAAGATAATATATCCCATGCTGCTACTTATAATATTTTGAATATGTATAGTAAAAAATGCATGGCAAGAATTATACTGCAGACAATGACTTCTTTGTGTTCTGCATTATCAGACTTCAAGAGGGCTCTGTATGAGTACTGCTTGCCTTATTTTAAAAATTATAAGGTGTTCATTATTATCATACTAACAATGTTTGACCTTGAAAAGCCAATATTCCAGGGGTTATGACACATGCCTTCAAGAAGTTTTTGAGTCATGATATGGAAAGAGTAAATAGCTGTATCTGTATTGCAAGAAAGGAAAAAAAGCTCTCAATAGCTAGTATATGTAAAAGAAAGAATTTTGGCTTTATATACATTCACCACACACACACACACACGCACACACACACTAGGTAGCACTTGCCATAAATAACCATAAATAAGAGAGAGCCTCATGAAATGTGAGCTTTGCATTACTGGATGTGTGAAAGCAGATGACCTGGCCTGGGAAAGCAGTAGAAGATGATCCAAGTCCCTGGGCCTCTGCGTGGGAGACCCAGAAGAAGCTCCTGGCTCCTGGCTTCAGATTGGTGCAGCTCTGGCCATTGCAGCCAAATGGGGAGTGAACTGGTAGATAAAAGACCTCTCTCTCTATCTCTCTGACTCTCCTTCTCTCTCTCTGTAACTCTGACTTTCAAATAAATAATAAATCTTAAAAAAAGATGACAAGTGATGATCTGAT